CCCATGAGAATGTTGCGTCTGCTACAGCAGCTCTATCTTGAAGGTCCACCACAGGAGCTAGAGGAAACATAGCAAAGTAGAGACAGAGACATAATCCACATTACTGTCCCAACAGAAAGCCATAGTGAAATTTACTTTTCTAAAGCATATTGTAAGCATTAGATGTATGAACCACATTGAATGTAAGGAAAAAAATTCAAGGCTTCAAAGACCAGTAAGCACAAAAACTGATCAGAACCCTCATCACTGCCCATAATTTTAATGTTAATTTGATGAATTGAATATTTATTTAGATGAATTAAATGTTAATTTAGTATTAATTTGATGAATTAAATATTAATTTAATGAAATTGAATGTTAATTTAATGAATTGATTGTTCACAAAAAAGGGATCTTATGTTCACAAAAATATTAGATGTAGAATAAAAATACTGAATGTGAAATATAGGGAACAAAAAATAAAAATATTGATATACTTCATGGGAGTAAGTTTAATTTATTTTATGATGAATTAGGACCGATTGTGGGAATGGGGACTGATCCTGGCCTAATATTACACTTTAATCCTTTTGATATTACACTTTTATCCTTTAATATTATACTTTTAACTTTTGATATTACACTTTTTAACCTTTTAATATTATAATTCATCAAATTAACATCTAAAATCATTCAATAAATATTCAATTTATCAAATCAACATCAAACATGCAATTTCATCCAATTAAAACTCAATTCATCAAATTTACACCAAATTAGCATAAAATTCTTCAAATTAACATTTAATTTTACCTAATAAACATATAATTCATTAAATTAACATTAAAATTCAACTAATAAACATTTAATTCGTAACATTCAATATCATCCAATTTATATTCAAATTCATTCAATTCATAAAATTAACATGAAAATCCTTAAAAAAAGATTTTTTTTTAATGGATTGTATTAAAAAATCAAATTACACCTAATTACACGAAATAAAATAAATAGAATAATAGAAGCAATGCATGCATGATACAAGAATTAAAGAAATAATAAAATTATAAAGCATGATCCTTTATATCACCTAAAACTTAGCTCATAATATGGCTGCATTAAAAGACACCCGTGAATGCTTGATGAGCTGAGAGCAGGAGTTTGAGCTTGGAGCTTGGAGCTTGGAGCTTGAGCTGGATGATTGAACTTGAGATGGAAGCTTGGGCTGGAGGCTTGAGGTAAAACTGGGAGTTAGAGTTGAACGTTTGAGCTTTGAGCCTGCTTATCAGAGAAGAAGGTGAATAGTCTTATAGGTTGAGAAACCTATGAGATAGGGCAGCTGAATAGACGCGTGAACAAAAGAGACCAAAACACAGACTCTTGCATTTTCGATGAGAGAAACAACCTCTGAGAGATCTTCTCCCTTTGAGCACCTGCAAAATAGAAAATTTCTGCCTTTTATCTAGAAGCGTGGTAGAAGATGAATATCCAGCATGAAGACCAAGAGACATGGATAGATATTGGAGGATGCAGAGGGAATTCTTCGTGGAGTGCTAGGATATAAAGGCATATGAACAGTCCTCTGCTTCCAAAGACGTCTGTAAGTGTATATTCACAATCCTAGTGTATATTGAATGCTATTTTTGAATTAAATTATAAATATTTGTGTGTGCATTAGGAAAATTGATCTGTGTTTTAAGTAAATTGTGTTTGGATGTTCTGTTAGAAGTTATGATTTCTAGATTTTTTATTGCTAGTTGTGTTTTTAAACTGGGCTTGTGTGGCCTTCATAATCCACTGGGTCAATTTCGATTGAGAGTTGGGGTGTGTGGACGCTTGTTTGTGCTCTTTGGATGAAGGGTGGATGTGATGAGATGAGATGAATGGTTGTGGTTAGTGAGGGTGAGAATATTTTTTTAAGGCATCATCCAAAGTTGGTGCTTGTGGATTTGCTTGGAAAAATATCAGGCATGGTTAAGTGCGTGGTAACATGTCTAGGTTTAAGTGGTGAACAGCTCTAGAGAAAATGGCAAGAATAAAAATGAAGATGCTAAGGCAAAACGTTCACTAACACTTTAAAAAGTTTACATTTTTTGGTGAATTTTTACCAACACAAACATTGAAAATCTCTTGTTTCTCCATAGAGTGAGTATAGCATTTATCAAAGAGCTCACATGATCGATTAATTGGACCGATTTCTCTGTTGACTACCTTTACCATCACCCTTCTAATGTTGTTGTTGAGTAGATCTTAACAATCTGTTCTGGTCCAAAATGTTTTGGACTTGCACAAAACTCTTTTGAAATTAGCTAATGTCTTTGCACAAAGCTCTTCTGGTCCAAAATGTTGTTTTGCAGAGCTTGTTTAATAGATAATGTCTTTACTCGAAATTAGCTACATAGAGTTTGGAGTCAATTACGTTTGTTGTTTTGTATTTTTGTAGAGGAAGGTCTACCCTTATTTTGCTGTGTTGGTTGTGATATTAAGAAAAGCATTAAAAATTCGGTTTCATTTTGTCAAAAGAGTATGTTTTTATAGCAGTACTCTTTGATATATGACTTTTGCCTATTGGAATGTGGGGTATTTTTTTGTCTCTTTTCAACTTTAATTTTAAAGTGAAAATTATTAAACTAACAAAATCATTACCTTTTTATGCTTCTATGTATAACCTTGATCAACAAATGGATCTTTCATATTTTCATATCTCTATAGGATAGCATTACTTGTGCAACCAAAGTGAAATTCTTGGTTTCATTATCTTATATATGGTTTTGTAATTTAGAAAGATGAATAAGAGGGTTAGAGATTGTATAATCACCATCGACATAGAATCATGGGTTTTGGTTTGTTCAAACCTTAGACTACTCATTCTTGTTAACAAAAAAATTTCAAGTACAGCAGTATTTGAAACAAGGAATCAGTTTCAATAAAAATGTGATATAATCTTCGTCATATTAAAATTCAATTCATCCAATTAATATTTAATTCATTAAATTAACATTGAATTCATCAAATTAAAATAAAAATCATCTAATAAAGATTTAATTCATCAAATCAACAACAAAGTAATATTCAATTTAACAAATTAACAATGTTAGCTAATAACATTTAATATTCAATTCATCAAAATTAAACCAAATAAACATTCAATTTCATCAAATAAACCTTTTCGGGTTTCAATTTTTTTGAATTGAGTTATAACTTTTTAGGATGAGCTCTAATGGTTGGGGAATGGTTCTAATTTTTATGGTGAGATTTTAACTATTGGTTATCTGGATGGGGTTATAACTTTTCAACTTTTTTGAATTGAATTATAATTTTTGGGGTGAGGGAGGGGTTCCAACTTTTTTGGTAGGGGTTTCAATTTTTTTGGGGTGAGTTCTAACTTTTTTGGATAGGGGTTCTAACTTTTTTGGTAGTTTCCAACTTTTTTGGATCAATGTTACAACTCTTGAGGGAAGGTTCCAACTTTTTTTAGGTTGCAATTCTTGGGTAGCGATTTCTGTTTCAATATTTTGAATTGAATTATAACATTTTGGGTGGGTTATAACTGTTGGGGAAGGGTTCCAAATTTTTCGGTTTCAACTTTTTTGGTAGGGTTTCAATTTTTTTGGGTGGGTTCTAATTTTTTTGGGTAGAGGTTCTAACTTTTTTGGTAGGGGTTCCAACTTTTTTGGGGTGGGTTCCAACTATTTGGGTAAGAGTTCTAACTTTTTTGGGTAGAAGTTCTAACTTTTTTGGTAGAGGTACTTGAGCGAAAGTTCCAACTTTCCAACTCTTGCGGCTTCAACTTTTTGGCTTAGTTTCAATTATTTAGTAGGGTTCCAACTCTTTTGGGTGGTTTCCAACTCTTTTGGGTAGCTTTTAACTTTTTTGGTAGATGTTCCAATACTTGTGAGGGTTCCAACTTTTTTGGAGGTTCCAATTTTTGGGGTAGAGGTTTCAACTTTTTGGCTAAGGTTTTAATTTTTTTAATTGAATTATAACCTTTTTGGTGGGTTTTAAGTGTTGGGGAAGGTTCTAACATTTTCGGGTTCGAACTTTTTTGTAGGTTCCAACTTTTTTTGGGGTGAGTTACAAAAAAATTGGTTGGGGTTCCAACTTTTTTATAGAGGTTTCAATTCATTAAATTAACATTTAAATTAACTATTTAACATTCAATTAATCAAATTAACACCAAATTAACATTACATTTTTCAAATCAACGCTAAATTAACTTTCAATTATTCAAATTAACACAACATTAATATTCAATTCATCAAATTCACTTTCAACTCCATCTAATAAATAATTAATTAATCAAATTAACTTAACATTCAATTTTATCAAATAAATATTCAATTCGTCAAATTAATACCAAACTAACAGTCAATTTATCCAATTTATATTCAAAATCATCCAATCAACATTCAATTCATCAAATTAACATCCACAATTATTTAATAAAATTCAATTTATCAAACCAACACTAATGTAATATAGAAATTTATTGAATAAACATTCAATTCATTAAAGTAACACCAAATTATCTAATAAAATTCAATTTATCAATTTATCCCCTAGACCGATCCTGTGTATATTACAATTTATCCCCTTTCATTCGGCACTTTTATCCTACGCTTAAAGAAGAAGGCGATCGTCTATTCCATAGGAGCTGCGTGTCTCAGGTAGATTTGGAAGGGAAGATCAAGCGACCTAACTCCTAGATCGATATGAATTCGATCGATTTCGAGAAGAGCAAGCGTGTCCATTCCTAGATCGATTTCGAGAAGAGCAAGAGACCCTAACTCCAAAACCCTAACCCTAACTCTAAAAAGCCTCCAAAACGCCTTTGATTTCAAGCATTCGAAATCCCATTGTTTCAAGAAGAGCAAGTGATTGATTTAAAGAAGAACAAGAGATTGATTTCAAGCATTCGAAATCCATTTGATTTTAAGAAGAACAAGTCAGCCAATCGACCGTTACCAAACCCTAACTCCAAAACGCTTCAAATCTCACTACAAGTAAGTATTCTATAACATATGAATGTGTGTGGTCATTCCATATTTATTTCTCGTATGACACATTTATTATGTTTGATTGGGTATGTACCTATTTGCTCTGGTAATGTATCAGAACAATGTTTGAGGTTGGAGAATTCAACAAAACTTTTGATGGAAACAAAGAAGAAGAGGAAGGCCGAGGGAAAGTATCGGCCAAAAGTGGATAATACAGCTGGAATTTGGCAAATGAAGAATAAACAGGTTGGTGATCAATCCTGTCCAAAACCTCCAATGGTCCATTCCTTCGGTTGTCCTTGTGCAAAACAAAATAAAAATGTTGATCACTCCTCCTCTCTTGCAAATTTGGTAAGTTCATCCATTCCAGCTTTCTTCAACAGAAATGGTGAAGAGCTTTATCATAATAGGTTTTGTCATAAGCCTGTGTTACTAGACCGTGGTACTCAGTTGGATAAGATGACAGATGTGGACTGTGCTATTATTTTTTATTTTCGACATTGGAATTCTATAGTTCAAATAGATAAGAACGATAAAGCATATGATGAATTTGTGAGGATATTTTATGCAAATATGCATGATGTTGAGAATGAAGATTTGAAATTTAAATCTTATATGAGGAATGTACGTTTTCAAGTGAACTTGGATTTGATTTCAAAGATATTGAATGTTGTCTCACCTTTTGTTGTTGAAAATACTTTGACATACCCATTCAAGAATCTCAGTGATCAACCTGCCCTCGCGGATGTTGCAACAGAACTTTATGATAGACCTTTTAATCTGAAGATAGAGACATTTTATCAAAGATATCTCACTAACACTTATAGGATTTTAAACCGTATAGTGGGATGTAATATTAATCAGAGAGGACATAGTGCTAATTTTGGACTTGATAGAGCTCATCTACTCTATGCCATTAGGAAGGGGATAACTATAGATCTCCCTCATCTAATATTTAATGAAATTGTTTCCACGTTTGACGTTGGAGATAGGCAAAAAAGTCTCCCATTCCCCATCTTAATTTCAAAGATCATGATGCATTATGGAGTTGTTATTCACCCAACCGACAGTTATAAGTCCCCTATGAGTCCATTTGATGAATACACATTAAAAAAGAGTTTGAGGCAAACCGAGTCATATAATCTAGATGATTATAATCCCGGGGCAAGTACTTCAGGTTCAGGGGATATTGTACAAATGCTTAAACAGATTTTGGTAAATCAAGAGGAGATGCAGCAAGAAATGAAGGAGTCTTTGGAGCAGCTACGTGAAGACACAAAAGAGTCTCTCAAGCAGCTTCGTGATGACACCAAGGAGTCTCTCAGGCTGCTCTGGGAAGACACGAAAGAGTCATTGAAAGAGTTGGAGAATAAATTATAAACTCAAGAAAAAAATGAGTAGTACTCTTTATTAGTTGTTGGATTGTAGAAAACATTTAAGTTGTTCAATTTTAAATTTTACTATGTAATTTTGTTGATGGTATGTAAATTGAAAGTGGTTGTTATGATAATTTGTTGATGGTATGCAAAGTGGATGTCATGATATTTGGCGATGCTATGTTTGTAATATAATCCTAGAAAACACAATATAGTTGGTTTCTTGATGCATGTTGATGTACACAACATGTTGAGTAGGAACATACTTTTGCCATTCAAAAAGGAGTCTAATAATCTTTATCTTTATATGTTTGCAAGGGTTGTTGTGATCCACCAGGCTGTGAGAATGGCATCTCGAGAACCGGTTCTTGTGATTGTGATGCATGAGAAAAATAATGGAGATTGTGTGGTTGGTGCGATTCAACCACATGTGAAAACGACATGTTCTCATATGGATCATTCAAATGGGGTGCAAGTAGTGGACATTCTCTAACCGTATGTTCGATACCCCTACATTTACTGTACCTTCATGGGGTAATTGAAATGTTCTTTTTCACCCCTCCTGAATTTTCCTTAGTCTTCACAAATTTTGGGTCACCCACTCCAAATTTGCCATTTTTCACATTCATGTTGAAATAGGATATTTGAGACTCATCATAACCTCTAGTTGTTGAATCGTGATGGGCTAGTAGAGCAGACGTTTGCTGATGCACTATATTTTTCACGTCGTTTGTTTTTGACATTGACTATGAAGCATAGTAACACATTCTGCTGCACATAGACATGAGTCCAACATATCTTTTAGAAACTGATGGGAAACTCAATGTATGCAACACATCATTTGTTTGTTAATCGAATTTTGCAGTAATTGTCCACCTTTTCATCACAATGGTAGGAGGAAACTCTTTGAGGTGCTCACACTTCATGATGGCAATTGTATGAGAGCAGGGAATCCCCATAGATTCAAATTTCATGCAATTACATTTAAACGTATGAATGCAGGATAATATTGAACAATCCACCTAGATTCAAGTTGTGTGAATCGGGACAAGTAGTAATTGCGATGTGTTATGCTCTCATTGGCCTCGGTCTCTCTGATTCTTGCCAAGCCCTTATCATACTGCCTAACAAACTCAAACTGTCTTTGACGTACTTTTAGGAACCGATTTAGGTATGCATTCAAACTTTCAGACCGTTTCGTACTTGTTTGTCCCGCAAAAAATATCCCCTGTAAATATGCTTCGGCCCATTTGAATCTCTTTACATAAACTTCAGCAATCCAATTATTAGTCTCCAGGCCAAATGATTCAACCATTGATTTCCATAAATCTTCAAATTCTTCCGGTGTACATCGAGTGCACATACATCTCTTGAATGCTTGGACAAAATTTTTGGAATTTATATTTATGAAAGCATTTCAGGCCAAATGCCACCTACATAAGCGGTGTGTTGCCTGTGGAAATATTATTTCTATTGCAGCAGCCATTGTTTTATCCTCATCTATAATAACAGAGATTGGCATCTTATTATCCATTGCATGAAGAAAAGTAGATAGCACCCACACATATGTTTCCACAGTCTCATCTGAAAGCAATGCACAACCAAATATACTTGTAGCATTGTGGTGCTTGACACTTGCAAATATCACAAATGGCTTCTTATAAACATTCGTTTGATATGTAGTATCAAACGTTAGTACGTCACCAAAACACTTGTAGTCTATTTGGGAAGTCGAATCCGCCCAAAACAAACATTTTAGCAAATTGTCTTCAGTGACGTTATACTTGAAATAGAATAGTGGGTCCAACTTTTCCTTGGCGCTCAAGTATGCCAATGCACTCTTGGTGTCACCATCCCTCATTTCTTCTCGACGTTGGGATGCTACATCATTGTACAAATCATTTGTGATAAATCCAACATTTTGATATCCTCCTGATTGTTGCAACATGAAATCTCTAATCTGACTTGTTCGTATACCAACATTACGCAATGATTTAGCCTATGCTCTGTGAGGACTCTTAACACCCCTATGTGATCGGAGAAATGACACGCCACGTTGTTGAACCAATGAATGGTTATGCTCCTTAACAAAATCCTTTACAACCTATTTTCCTGTCTTCCTATCATACTTCACCCGCAAAGTTGCAAGGCATCCAACCCTTGTTAAACTCCATGGTTCCCTTACTCGTTCGTCGTGGTCCGCATTCTTTGTGGACCGACCCTTCTCTTGAACAAACCCACCTTCTTGAAATTGCCATGTGGTTCTTGTCATACTTTAGATCATCTTTTCAAATGCTAAACCCCGCAGGGTGCTTTCCTTTTTGTAAATAAGTTGAGGACATTTTTGTTGATTATACCTACAGAAAAATAATTAACAACAGATGCATGTTATATATCAAATGCTTGACAAATTTTAGAAATTTTGTACATAATGAAAAAAAAAAAAACTAGTGTTATGACAATATTAGTTTATGTAGTGCTCTCCTTTCTCATATTGCCTATCAAAATTAGAAAACATTCATACAAAAAATTATGCAGTTAACATCAAACAAATAATAGTTACCTCACCCACGTTATTGGATGGATGATGATGGAATGGGGGTTCTAAACGTTCCAATTAAATTGTATAGAGGATGAAAGAATGAAGAGTGAAATTGTTCGGAGGATGAAGGAATAAAGACTGACATTGTAGGGGGATAAAGAATGTTCAGCGAACATGGGAGACATTAATATCATTTATTTCATAATTACCAACTATATTTTGGCTGACAAATTTAATTGGCTTGCATTTATTATGTGATGTGATTTTGGTAAGAAATAGGATAGATTATGGTTGTTGCATGTATTACAACCTTTTGGGGATGGTTTATTACTTTATTGGGTTGTGTTACAATATTTTGGGTTGGAGTTTCTACTTTTTTGGATTGAAGTTTCAACTTTTTTGGGTTGACTTTATTAAGCTTTGGTAGATCCACTTTGAATCCACCCAAAAAGTTATAACCCTATCTAACAAAATTGAAATGTCACCAAAATAATTTACCCCAAAATATTATTACACTAATTCATAAATGTTGGAAGCCACTTCAAAAAGGAACTATTTTTGGGAGGGTTCCAACTGCTGAGTATGGTGTTCCAACATGTTACTGGATTTGGTTATAATATTTTGGTTAGGTCCAACTTTGAAGGATTTGGTTACAATTTTTGTAGGGTGAGGTTTCAACTTTTTGGTTGCTTTAACCTTTAGTAATAGTGGATCCTAAATGTGGGATATGATGGAAGAAACTGAATTTTTTTTCAAAAAATTCAACTATTTTTTAGGCGGAAACATATCCCGCCCATTTTTTGTTAATAAAAACAGTTTATATTCCAAAAGTTTTTGTATTCTTATTATATTTCATCAAAAATTATAATTCTTATAATACTATCAATTACACAAAAGCATTAACAATCTAAAGAATTGTGTACAACATATTTTAATCTTAAGTTGCAATATGAAAATATTTATATTTTAGGGTGTAAAGTAAAAAAAATCAATTGACACATTCACCCCCAAAAGACCCAATGTCTCTCACACCTTCCGCTTCCACACACAAATTCCCTTCCTCTTCTCCTTCTCCTTCGATCTGTCTCCCTCTACCCATCTCCGTGTCTTCCTTCGATCTGTCTCCCTCTACCCATTCTTCCAAGAGCATTCTTCCAAGAATTCATTACCAGGTATGGACGTCTGTCGCTATATGTGTGTGTATGTATCACCCATCTCTTCTCTCTATCGACTCCCATTGAAACCCTAACGAAAACTCATCTCTCTGTCTCAGCTCCCATTGAAACCCCAACGAAAACTCATCTCTATGTCTTGGCTCTCATTGAAACTCCACCGAAAACCCATCTCTCTGTTTCCAAAATATGTGTTATATTTTTTGATTTTGTGGTCTCTTAGAATTTTTTGTAGGTGATTAGGGTTGTTTTTTGTAACCTATTTATCTTTTTTTCCCATATATAATAAATTACACATTTGATTTGTTGAACTTCAACTAATTACGCTTTGGTTGTTTTTGTATGGATGGATGGAATTGGGATATCATCTACAACATCTACCACATCTAGGTTGTAGACTCGACCTAAATCAACGAGCAAGTTGAAGACCAAGTCGCTTCACCCCTCATTATCTACCCATTAATTCCTTCAAGTGAGATGCAACACACAACAGGTAAATATACATCCCTCTCTCTCTCTATTTAGATATTACTTGAAGATCCAAACTTCTTTAATTTTACATGTCCTAACTTACATATGCTTTTCGTGGGTTACAAGTTGTCTGGGTGGTTGGTTACAAGTTTTCAGAGTGGTGGGTTACAAATTTTTGGGATACTCAATATGGTTTAGATTGTGTTACAAGCTTTGTGGATTAGGTTCCAACCTGTGTGGATTAGGTTACAACCATTATGCTTGCTTATGTTTGATTATGATTAGATTTCTTATGGCTGCTTATGGTCTGATTTTATTGTTTATAACTTCTTACTTATTAGATATATGGATAAGTTAATATGTAAATGATTCCATTGTGTTTCTTTTATGTGTATTGTTTACTAACCATGAAAAAGGTAAATTTGGCAGGCCATTTGTTTGTTGAATACAATTACAACAATGTAAGTACTTCTTGTTGAAAATTTTGGGATACTCAGATTTTGTTGTATTAGGTTAACATCATAGTGCATTGAACAGGACAAAAAAGAGGCAAATTGGACATCAAGTGGAGCATCAAACATGCAAAAGGATTTCATCACCAATGAGTGCAACCTCTAGTACTTCAGTTAAAAAAGTTAATAGCAAACTCACATTTTTTTACGCATTACATTCAACAATTTCAGTATTTAATTGTAATATTGTTGCACACTTTTGCAGAATATACTTGCAACCTGATGCTCACCCCAAAAGGTAGTAACCTTAATTGAAACATTAACGGCTGAACAGAAAAGTGGGGTGGCAGAAATTGGATTGGGGGGC